AAGAAATCCCCCCCCCCCCCCCGCCCTCAAAAGTTAAATGGTCGGTCCCTTATCTGCAAATTGTTTAAAAGGAGCAAACAATAAAGCATGAGGGCATACGAAAGTTTGTAAATGCTGCAGGTGTAAATTTAAATGTTACTTAACATGCTACTCAATTCACACTGTACTGCAGTCAAATGTTAAAAAGAAAGGTCGAAAGTTGTTGATATAACCTGAGCACAAGGCTATGGGTTTGCTTTTTAATATACCCGCACCACAGCAAGGTTCGATCTTAGGTCAGATCTTATATTAACGAAAAGGAAGCCTGTGTACTTGCAATGATCTTAGATATATATTAAATTATCAATGTCAATATCAAGTTCAAGAATATCAGGAAGTAAAAAGTTTTCATGTTTTGCCTATCAACACCGTATTATACTGTAATTGTTAATGCACCAGTCATTTAAACTCCCCCCACCCCCAACTCAGGAATACCAGGGGAATTCACTTTTTGTGACTGTGAAACTTAGTGAACTATATGACAACTGGAGCAAAATGGTGTGGTGCATAACATAAACTATAGTTAGTTTCATCATTGATGGGTACCAAATAATAAATGATTTAACCCATTGATTCGCAACACCCTTGATGAGCAAAATCATCTGGCATTAGACAGAGTAAATTATAAAGTAGCGCACATCAGTGTGTAATCCAATTTCATTGCCTTGTATAACAATAGTGCACAATGACATAAACATTTTTTGCAGTTAAAGCAATTTAGCAATGTCAGTGAGTCGGTGACTACTATAGTAATAAATAGTCCAGTTGTTAGGCTAGTTGTAGTAAATAATAAAGAGGAAAATTATTCTTGGCTTGCTTTTCTTGTCTTGTTTTTAATTCCTAATCAATCCCCTATCATTCATTATTCTAGGCCGGAATAAAATGATCTCGCTGATGAGTATTAAGTCAAAGAAATCAGACCATGATCTTAAAGACAGAACATCTTCTCTGCAGTACATGTAACAACAGGTGAATATAATTTTTACATGCAGTAGATCATGCAGTAAGCTATCTGTCACGAAATATCACGAAGGAATTTGCGAAACGTCATTGCAGTGTTTGTGATTCCATTCGTCTGGAAGCATATATATAGTAGCATTCTAGGAGGAACAGTCTTTACATCGCATATATCCAAGCTTGCATGCAACATGTACTATATATATATATATATATATATATATATATATATATATATATATATATATATATATATATATATATATATATATATATATATAACACGAAAATGAACACACGAACACGAACATGAACACGAACACGAACACAAACAACACCGCACAACAAAATAATATGTTGAGCCTTTAATTAAGTACAAAGGACGTAACAAATAGTGGAAATCAACCGAACAGGCAATTGGGAGGAACGCGGATGTTTTCTGAATGCAAAGGAACAATCTTTACATCACATATACCCAAGTTTCAACATGTAGCTACTAATTCACCCAGTATATGAACACACAAACATATAGTCTATATAGTTATACTGTAGTTTTTTACCTCAAAAAGTTGGAAGAATCATCAGCTGGCACCTCTGCATGGATGGGACCACTCTGTATTTCGTATATATGGTAGTATTAACTAGGAGCCACCTCTTGGATGAAACAGGCTGTTGTGGCAACATTTGAGGTAAAAACTACATTATCTGCTCTATCTTTATGATATCAGACATCTTTAGCATTTCGTGAACCAAAACACACTCGTATATATATTTAAAAACTCATTATTAATTCATAAAGAAAAGTCAAAGGAAATCACTAGCATGTCGGTGATTTTATATCTGATAAAAAATCATGTAAACTTTAGCTTTAATTTTCTCGACTTAGACAACGTTTATTTTCGGCTCGTGTTTTAAATAGTATATAATATATACTCCATCATGATCAGCTGTTCCTGAAGGCAGGTCGTTGAGGTGTAAGTAACCCGCTACAATAATTATGTTGCAGTTTCCTGACCACACTTTATGTTTTCCTATTTCACGATTCTACAGGATTTAACAATGGCGTATAGAATAGAGAACGACGAGCAAGGTTATGATGAAAGACGTTTTCAAGGTTCAGTCAAACCAGATCTACTCTGTTCAATATGTCAGGAAGTCCTCAGAAACCCAAAAGCCTGCCAAAACAAAGAACACCCATTTTGTTTTGCTTGTATATCAAAGCATCTTGAACATTCTGCCACATGCCCAGAATGCAGAGAGCACCTGACCCCAGAAACCCTGAAAAATCCACCAAGATTTTTAATGAGCTGTTTATTGGACCTGAAAATCAACTGCGATTACAACAGCCGAGGGTGTGCCGACTACATCCGGCTTGAAAATCTTCAAAACCATACCGATCAATGTGAATTTGCACCTGTCATGTGTGAGAGATGTGGAATAACGGTCAATAGAAAAGATAAAGACAACCAAGCATGCAAAGAACATCTGGCTCCAAGAACCCTCAACCCTGATCAATTTCCACCAGTCAAGTGTGAAGGACTTGAAATTGTCGAGATGAGTAGAAGAGACAAAGACAAGCTCAAATGTCACGAGTGCAGAGATATAAAAAAAAATCAAGAAAGAATGAAATTCGAAATAAGTCGTGTGAAAGAAGGTCAAGGTGATATTAAAGAAAGACAGGATCAAATGAACGAGGAACTGAACGGAATAAAAGTTCAGATATTAGAAGTAGAAAGAAAACAAGATGAAATAAATGCCAAAGTAATGCAGTTAAAGGTAACTATAATTTTTGCTTTATAACTCGACTATTCACCGGTGATTAAAGGTAATGTCCACCACCCAGAGCGGTTACCAGGAGACGAATTTCGTGACTTTCGCGCGATACGCTCTCGTCCAATGAGATGCGAGAAAACATGAATTTTGACACTTGGTATATAATAGTCAAGGAGGGCTAATAAGAGGAACCTTTAATACTAGCCTTACTACCATTCATATACAAACAATTATGTTTTTTTCTCAATAGATAAAGTGTAGTTTTTGAATATGCACCATTCAAGCCTCACTCTTTCTACTTTTATTGTCACGTTATGTAGAATCTAAATTCTAATATGTTTCGGTACGATACAGTTGATGTAGAAAACAGACTTCATAGTCACTTTAATTTATTTACAATTCAGGAAAATGTTGACGAGATCAAACAAATCCAAGCAGAAATGAAATTCGATGAAGTGACGTTTAAAGCTGAGATGAGACAACAGTTTCAGAGAATGACTGATACGTTAAACCTGTTATTACCAGGAGCTAATAATAAAAACCAAGGTTCAGGTTATTCAGCCAATAATGACCCAGAAATTATTATCATGGGTGGTTGGAGTGCCCCTGGTAAAGACACAATATTAAATACAGTGGAAATATACAACATAGCACATGGGAAGTCCGTGCAGCTACCATCCATGAATCACCCCAGAGTCGAAACAGCATCGTGTGTTTTCTATAATGCCGTCGTCGTAGCTGGTGGCTATGATGGTTGTGTTTGTATTGACAATATAGAGATCTTACAGATGGACCAGTATCCTTTACGATGGACAGTGTTTCAAGGTAAACTGCCTTCGCAGTTATCTAGTCATTCCCTAATAGTTTATCAAGATAAATTACTTGCCATTGGAGGAATGAACTCAAGTGACAATAAAACATCGAACGCCATCCACGAAATCTCTCTTATTCCTCCTCATACTGTCAAGAGATTGTTTAAGATGCCTCAGGCGATAAGAAACCATAGAGCCGAACTTGTAAATGATAAACTTTTTGTGTTGGGAGGAACACCGACAGGTTTAAGTAACGATGCCACGGACAGTGTTATTTCTTATGATTTTACAAAGAATGAACGCAAGCGATGTGAAGCGTTACCCTATCATGTCTGCGGAATGTCCACAGTTACATGGAGAAGTATGGTGATTGTCATTGGTGGCGCAGATAAACATGACCAGGTTTTAAATGACGTCATCATGTATGAAACTGTGACTGGAAAGACTGAGAAGCTGCCGGCCATGATATACAGAAGGTACGGTTCCTCAGCTGTTATTTTGGATGAAGTCATTTATGTTATGGGAGGATGGAATCAAGAGCAGGGATATCTTAAGTCGGTAGAATGTTTGACCATTGGAAATGATTTTTGGGTAGAACTGCCAGGAATGAGAGAAAGAAGAAGACTGGCAACTGCCGTAGTGAAACCTCGACATTGATGTCCTTAACATATGCCTTGTAAATATTTTAAGGTGGCTCGATACAGTTTTCAAAAATTCAAATGTTCAACACTTTGACATGTTCAAACTACGCATTTTTAGGATTTATTCAGCAGATATTGGTTTTTTTATATATTTTGATATCTCAACTTTCAAATTATACAAGTTTTAGTAACAGATAGTTCGTTGCTATGACGACATACGCGTACGAAATTCACTCCAAAATGGCCTATCGTCACGTATAGTTAGAAAAGAAGCATGGTGACCCCCAATTATTTTTCGTGCATTATTTTACTTGGACGAAAAGCTAACAATTAGCAAAATATAAAAAAATTCTGTAATGCCATTTTTTTGGAAAATGCGAAAATGTCATATTCTTCGGTAAAATTTTTTTGGTATTACAGAATTTTTTTATTTTTTGTATAATGAAAGTTTTTAGCGGTACAATGCAGCATGCAAAATTTGAACATAGGTCACCAGACAAAATAAAGAAATACAGCGCATTGTTTTTCTAAAATGGAAAATTCTAATGACGTCAGCAATTGATATAAAACGCAATGGCGTGATATGGCGCGAGCAACCGCTCACGTCAGGTCATTTTAGAAGTTCTTTCATTTTGTTAATCAGTTTCCACGACCTGCGCGTAAAAATGGTCACCCGGTTTTGAGTTCGCGACTCTTGAGCAGGGTTTTTGTGATAACTATATCGAGCCACCTTAATTAATGTACTTGCAAAATTATTTGGTTGATTATAAGTTCGGTTGCAGACAATCTCATTGGTAACGCATGTTTATGCCTGTTGCTACCTACAATCCAGGTCAAAATGCATCCACTCATTGGTATGAAATAGGTAATTGGACAAGTACTGGTGTAAGACATTGTGTGGCCTAAATAGTGATCGAGAACCAGTAGTCCAAAATGGTTATCCTTTATTTATTTACTACGACTCGTATGATGAACGACAGGTTATGTACGCAAAAAAACAGGGAACATTGACTTGAGGGAGGGGGGGGGGATATTTATTTAGAGAAACGCCATTCGAAGCCAATGTCTGTGGATTGTCCACAACGTTTTGATTGCAGACTTGCTCCAAGTCTCTCTGTGTCGGCAATACTGGGGCGACACAGAGACGTCGGGCAAGTCTAGTTGCTATCCTATTCACATTTTCGGATTCACATGCCTAGTTGATAATGCAAACATAGAATAAAACACATGTAACCACACTCGTGGCAATGGAAAATATTCTACCAATATTCTACCAATTCATTTGCTCACTTGAACCAATTCATTTGAGATATTTGACCAATTATCTGCAACTTCATAAATTTAATCGTTAATTTTGATCCCTTCCTGTCTTTTTGCGGTTGGTTAATTGCACCAAAACCAAAGGTGACTGTATACGTGAGACCATGGATTGTAAAGTCATTTTACAATCCATGGTGAGATATACAGGAGGTTATCACATTTTCAAATAACTCAGCAAATGAATTGATCACGCGAGCAAATGAGAATATTTTAAAAATTTTTAACACTCATTCTCACAACTGCAGGGCCTTTTCTAAGGATTTTCCCGGGGGGGGGGGATTTTTTGAAAAGGGACCTTTCTATGAGATAATATATTAGAGGGGTATAGCAATGGCCAAAGGTCACGTGTGTGGCCGACATACCACGCATGAATAGGGGTCTGGGGACATACTCCCCCAGAACAGTTTTTGAAATTTGAAGCCCGGAAATGCCATTTCCTGCATTCTGAGCATACAAATTACCTCTGAAATTTATGCTAACTATACTAAAAGTATTTGAAATAAAAGCAGGAACAAACGCACAAAAAAATTTTTAAAAATATTATCAATAATTTATCATTACTTAGTGTTAGAAAAACTTAACAATTTAAGTCGATTTTGTACAAATATAAGTTAGAGGATTACCTTAAAACTAAAGGAAACACAAATCAAAGAAAAGCAGTAAGAAATTTCGAATAAGTTGTCATAAGTTACAGACTGAATACTGCCGATATCACAACACCCCTATATATATATATATATATATATATATATATATATATATATATCTCTTAAAATTAATTATTGCTACTCAAGTTCCCAAGTTCACGCCCTATTGAATAAGGCGTGAAACTTGAGTAGCAATAATTAATTTTAAGATATAAATATATCTTGCTCTACTATAATACAAGTGTTGAGCACTTTATTATCTACTACAACAAAACAAGCTATATATATATATATATATATATATATATATATATATATATATATATATATATATATATATATATATATATATATATATATATATATATATTAGATTATAGATTATAGATATGGATATACCTATTCGTCCCTATAAAATTGAAATTCAAATAACGACCGGGGACGAGTCTGCTTTATCGAGGAATATATTCAATACTCCCCTCTAATCAATTTCCGTTTAATAATCCCCTCTAATATTCACCTGTAATGTCTTTGCAGCACAAAAAAATGAGAACAAACAACATAACGAAGGCAATATGGCATTAAGAATTATTTCTATTCTGACTCATTAACGCGACCGCGCAATGTGAAAAATAAGTACGTTATTTTGAGGCACCTCGGGGATATGTGTTTATTCACCTCGGCACCGTGCGCCTCGGTGAATAAATCACATATCCCTCGTTGCCTCAAAATAATATATACTAATCAGTCGTTTTATATGACGTTTCCCGAGGTGAAAGAGTGCTAAATTGGATATTAATCAATATTAACCAATATTAACCAGGATATTATGGAATAAATTATGGATAAATGAGGAATAAATGAGTAGCTACTTGCAAGGCAGTTGCACTACTACAACATTGTATTGGCTAAGGGAGGAGAAATATAGTTATTGTGGGGAATGTCATACTCAACACTGAAAATGCGTAATGTGTCAAGGTTTGACCAGGATTTTGGTATTAACTATTATGCTGGAAAGTAAGAACATAATTTGAACTCAAACTTGAAAAATAGTATTTGATATTATATTTGTAAGCTCTTAACATTAACTTTTCAATCCGCATCTTCCGCAGGAACTATAGGGACTAGTCATTATTTATACCAGGGGTTGAGACCGAAGCGGAAGAAAAATTATTTTAATCAACCCAACCAACCAATACCCGGAATTTTGGAATACCCCAAAAAATGCTTACTGCAGATAAATGTACACATACGTACCCTATTTTTCATTACTCATTTTTTATTGACCATTGCCATTGTTTTAAAGAACTTTGTTCACATCAAAACAAAACGGTGAAACTGTTCATGTTCATGAAACTGTTCAAACTATAAATCTAAGCCAGTTTCGGCGGTTTTCGTCACACCCAGCTACGAAGAAGCGAGCGAGGTCTGTGCAAATACTTTCTCGTACAGACTAAGCAAATGAAGTGGTTGATAAGAAATTTACTATATGCTTACCATTTCTTGGCAGCACCCGCCGCCATAGGTGTACTGGAGGAAACATTCAGAAGGGGGGGGGGCGAAAATTTACCTGACTTTCCCCCGTTGTGCCGGACTTACTGTAAAACAATTTTCTGTGTAAACTTTCCAAAATTGTTATCGACAAATACATATTTCCAATTTGTCAAAATTCCACGATACTTTTACATATTTCTGGTATTTTCAAATACTATATTGCATGTCTTCTCAGTTATTTCCACCAATTTTTGCCCGAATTACGTTCATAATTTGACCGACTTTATTTTGACAGGGGGCAGCTGCCCCGCCCCGTACGTTTATGCCCGCCGCCACAGAGGCCAAAGTTAGGACGTCCTCCAGTCATGCCTGCTTTTGAACCTGGGATAATCCAACTGCCTTTGGGCCAAAATTAACGTGATTCGATTGGTCAATGCGAATACTATGAAAGTATGGAAAGTTATTCATTTACCAGAAGATATTGTGGCAACATGGCAGCCGGACTTCAAATTCCAAAAACTGCACGAGATTGGAAAAATTGCAACCAATAATGCATTCTCACTAGAAAGACCTAGTCCGCAAGGCCTTTCTATGGATCTTAGCACGCGGATGGGTTTTGAAAAAATTCTGCCACCCGATTCCCAGGGTATATTCCCACTCCCTGAGTTTAAAATATTTACTTCCGCTTCTGGAAAAATCTCGAACCAGAGCCAACGATAGCATGAGTACGAGATTGTGTCCGGGTTGGATTATCCCAGGTTTTCTGATCGAGCAATAAGCGCAGAAGCCCTGGGTACGAGGTTGCTGCCAATACATTGGTACCGCGTCCAGTTCAACCTTCTGCAAATCAACAATCCATAGGCTCCATACAATAAATGGGGAAACGATGGGGAAATAAACAAGTGCACAAAAACAAAACTGTTTTATATCGCTATCCTGGCTAATCAATTATTGTTTTAGAAAACTATGGAGATTGGTTATTTGGTAAGCAACACATCATGATGATGGTCAATGTCAAAACTATTAAAATTATTTATGGAGCATGAAAATTAAACCGCATCTCTCGAGCTCAAAAAGACCAATATTACACTCTGGTAACTGCCGATTGACCACCATCACGATGGTGAAAAGTGAAATCCATCCAGTACTACACAAGATACCACGAAATTAATGCCCCCTTATCTAAATCTAACCACATCCTACTTTGACCACAGCTTATCGAAGGGAAAATAGTTGTGAAACTCATTAGAGTTAGTTGTTTCAGGCAAGTTACCTATCTGTGACTCGAACAATAGGGTAGACTGGAAATTGGTATATCGGTGGATTTTGCAAAAATACAATACAATACACACGTGACGGTGAAGGACCAGATTTATGAATAAACGTTGACTAGCATAGACGAATTATATTGTTATTCTAACGAGTTTCACAGCCATCTACCCTTCGATAGACCATGCTTTGGCTAACTTTGTATTTAAAAATTTGCATTTAAATCTCAATTTTAAATAAGCGAGGCCCATTTGATTATTCCTTGCGGAACACGACAAATCTCAGTGGAATGGGGCGAGCTTATTTAAAAATTGACATTTAGTGCATTCTACATGTACTGTAATTTTGGACTCTATGGTAAGATAATAAACACACGCACGTATTTTCAAACACGTACGTTTATTATAAGTGAACTTCATAATTATACAACTATTAGAATTTTATTTGCTTTTACATTTGTAACTTACTTACACGAAAATCAACTCTATTGGTGATATATGATTTGCGTCGACTAAATGATCTGTTGTCTGGTCCCTTTGACGGTTTGAATCATATTGTATTTAAATATAATACATGCAAGTTTTAATTTGCCAATTACGAATTATTCTGCAGAAAATTCTAGATTTTATCGTTCTTGGTATGAAAGATATTACTTTAATTTTCTAGGATAGTATGAGGTTCCCTTGGGCAGGGTAGTATTGCAAACTTCATTGGAAAAGAATGCAATTTAAAGACAAACACAAATAACGTTATATACAAAGAAGAATTGAAATGGACGAGGTGCATACATGCACCTTTTCAATACATGCAGTACGTACAAACCTAGAAGAGCTACAACAGTGATGCTGATGAAATAAACTAATACAGACTTCACATTAAACATATAATTACTAAGGTTACAACCAAGAGGCCGCGGAAGCATTTCGAAATTGGCCAAAAGGGACACTTTTGTATATGACAAAAATCAAACGATTTTAATGCCGTTCAGAAGCCGAACGAAAATTTTTAAAATATGGAGTCTCTTATAACGTTGGAAATGGCCTTTACAACAGACTGAGTCTTTACATTTAAAAATTGCACTTTCTTTCCAGCAAAAGAATTCAATTCAAAAAATACTTTTTTCGTTCTTTAAATGGGGCCGGCTTTAACCCAGAAAAATGGCATTTTTTTCACTTATAAAAGTGGGGGGAGGGGGAGATATGCCTTCATTGCTTCCCCGGTTCCGCGGCCCCTGCTCGCAACAAGTATTGACACAAAACGTTCACATCAAATCACATGAAAACCAACAAAGCCTTTTTATTTTTAATACCAGCTACTTGGTCGTATTCCGGACGGTGTGCTTCGTATATGAAATGCGTAAATTTAGCGTCTTCATCAAAATTTCGGCAAATCAAATTTCGACTAGAAATACATGCATGCAGCAGCCTCTCGTCCTTTTTGACAGAACATCTGTAACTCCAAAACTTTGTATCAGTATGAACATTTAATCATATTTTTTGTGCTCTAAATGGCAAAAATAAAAGGAATAACACTTTACTATGGATACATCAATTTCAGAGTCTACTGCATATAAACAGTTTGAATGCTTAAAAATTTAACGTGAAATGAATTCTTTATCCAATTATCGTTGGGTAAAACGTTTCAAATTAAAAATTAATGTTCAGAAACGGTTCTAGAAATATTTTTTGGCACTAACCACTTGTATTTGAATTTGATTGCCGAGAGCTCTTAGTCAATGAACAATTTCAGTACATTCAGTTTTTCAGCTTTTAATTTAGTGAAATATAGTAATAATACTGTATAGTTCTAATAATAATAATGTAGCTATAGTTCTTTATAACCCTTCAACCATTTCAGAGCAATTTTGCTAGGACATTTTTCCATGACACGTTCATTGGTCTGTTGAGAGAACAGGCGGAGAGATATAACCAAGAAAGTGGAAAATGGCAATCTCGAATTTGAAAGAACATCAAGATGAAGTGGAAGAGATTGAGGCAAGGTAAGGGTTATTAAGATGAAATATAGATGAACTAAGAATTAGTTCGCTTGTTGTATAGAAGCATGGTGTCCTTGTTTTCTGCGATAGCAAAACTACAAAAATGAGGGATTGCACTTGACAGACTTCAAGGAGAACAGCATAATCTATTATACTTGACTCAATTATCATGACCGGCAAAAGCTTTAATTTGAAAATATATTTTCAGCGTTGAAGATCACCACAAAAAACTATTATCAAAATGAATTGGAGAAAATTGAAAAAAAGGTGAGGGTAATGGTTGTCGTCCTGGTCAAATACTCAGATGTCGTGCAAACGAAACTTTACATAAATATTGTATAACAGCTATATAACATCAGAAACTTGGGAAGAGATAATGCACTCGTTGTAAAGATTGCAATAAAGGTATGTTAAGAGGTTCAGTGATTCCATGAGTTTGAAACAAGTGTAAACAGAGTGGTTAGTTTTATCCTAAAGTTTGGTTCTGAAATATCGCTTTTCACATTGTTATAATCGTTTACAAAATATTACAGTACCCCACAAATGGCGGCGTGAGAAAGGCTAATTCCTTTCTATTATTAAAGATTGCAGTTGCAGAATGCTAAATAGTTAAAGAAAAATACGATTAATGAAAGAATCGAAAGAAAAATTGGAAAGCGAATTTGAGAAATTTTTTTTTGGAAATATTAATGGAAGAAGTGTACCCCCGATCCTTTGTAGGTTAAGCAGGCTATAGCTAGGCGAGGGGGAGGGGTGGGGGGGGTAGTCAGGGCATCTTTAAATTATAACGAAGAGGTTAATGAGAAGGACCAACACATTGAAATTTTGCAAGACAAGAATACAACATTGAATATGCAACATGAGGCTAAGCGCCTTTACGAGTTCGCGACGCCATCTTGTCATGCGAGACAAACACAATGATAGAAACATTGCCTCATGCCAAAGGGACGCTGCCAAAGTGGATGCTGATTGCTTTACCTTGCCAATTCTGCGCAATGATTTAGTTGCGACATTGAAATACCTTTTAATTGATAAACCTTTTTTCATTCATTTTAGGGAGTAAACGGGACCAACATGCATGTTCGTTTTTTTGCATTTAGTATGAAAATAACGCCATAAAAGTTTTAAACGAATTTAGTTTTTATAACACTTTATTATGTATATGTTTTTATATTCATGTGTACTGATTTACGTGCACGCTTTAGTGTGTTGTTATTGAATGTTTGGAGGGTGAGTGTAGTCTCATGTTCAGTGAGGATGAGTGGTGACTCATTGAATGTTGAGTTGCACTGTTGAGAGACTCACTGAGTGTGTGCATGTATGTGTGAGGGAACTTTTAGTAGAAAATTGCATTGGATGTACTTAATTACAGAATAAGGTTGGACGGCCTCAAAAATATTTCATACAATTTGGACATCAATAAGACTTTACTATTTTATGTATTTATTCTATGTATATATACCAATACTACAAAAATTCAATTTAAATACACTACAATAAGATTTTGTATTTGTTTTATTCAGTTTTGTATCTTGAGAAAACCCAAACTTGTGAAGGACTTCCATTACAGGGATTTACTACAGGATTTTGAGATTCCATTGAAGCACCACGATCGAGACATTGTCCACTCACCTCATGTTTGATTGTGCCCTGAATGTGATAAAAATAGAACACAATGTTTAAAACATTTCTTTTTAGAATAAAGATAACAAGTCTGTAATTTGCTATACAAGTTGAGGACTTCGTATTTTAACAACTTTGTTTTGTAGCGGTTGACAAGCTTGTTACAAGTCTGTTGTGAATTTTTTGGCGAGTGTTCAATCGAAAATGCGAATTGTCTGGGGAGATTTTAAATGTTTCCTGCATCGTCCCTACTTTTCAAAGTATTTCAATCAACAATCTGAATTTTCTCATTGACCGACATGTTGGATTCAAACGTTGGTCGTCTTTGGCGGACAGATAAGTGTGGTTGATTGCGCCATTATTTAATTGAAAGGATACTAAAAGAGACTAATTGTTAAACTGAATAAAACGATATTTAATGAGATGCTTACGGATTTTTTATCATGAACCCATTTCTGGTTTCCTTCCATCCCATGACATGGAATAAGCTCAACTGAGCCGCCAGGATTATACTTGGAGTTATCAACGCAGTTCTCACTTTCCCACAAGATTTCACCATGTGAAGACAACACAAAATACTACAAATATATAAACAACGATTTTGTAAGATCAAGAAACACTTCAAAACTCATAGTCCGGCAGATAAGACAGAAAAAACTCACCCGCGATCAGGAAGCAATTCTATTTTGCCTTCATCTCAAGGCTATACTAAGTACAATCTCTGTATGTTGGCGGCGTTCAAATTTCTTGAGGGCTCCTGCCAACACAGTTTTCTTCGAATTTCCTGAAATTTCAGGTTCATTCATAGAAAAACTATAACATGCATCATCAGAAAGCTTACAAAAACTACATATTATATATAAGCCATTTAAAGCCGGTTACCTTGCATGATTTTTTACGCGGTCTTTGAGTTATTGCTGTTCCAAAATGTGAAAAATAGGCCAAAAACTCACAAGAATCCTGGGCACTAGTCTGAAAACATGTTTTGAAAAGCTCATAACTCAACAAGAACTTGGCAAATCAAGGTAACCGTTTAAATGTCTTTTATGTAGTTTTTTTGTAAGCTTTCTAATAATGCAGCAAGTTATTTTTTTCTATTAATGAACCTGAAATTTCACGTTTTTAACAATATAGAAGTTTAATAGGGAAATCGAAGAGAAACGTGTTGGCAGGGGCCCACAAGAAATTTGAACGCAGCCGACATACAGAAATGTACTTACTATAGCCTTAAGGAACACGATATTAAAGGCAAAATGGAATGCCCCCCGATATGGTGATCAACTTGCAATTGGTATATACCTGATTATTTCCTTGACCATGACAGCTGTATAAGCCTAACTTATTTCCAGATTTCATTCCAAGAGAATCCAAACACATACTACTTTCAGGATTACGAACCTATAAAACAAGAGATTATTCATCTAAGTAAGAAAAACAAACAGAAAAAATGGTAACCTCAGTTACTTTGCTGGGTAGCAGAGTAACTGCGGTATTTTAGGTAAGGGTTTGGTACTTTGCTTGATTTGAAGTCGTTGATATAAGTTGCTATACAAGGTTGATGACTCGTTTCTATGGAACTATACAGTCCAACAAGCCTGTTGCGATTCAATAAATCAAAAACTTTATTTAGGTGTCAATCTGATCTGACAATCCTCTAGCAAACCACGAATGCTTCACTGATTGGGGATACAGACTGCGAAAACGTTTGACGACACACGATATTATTACGTACATAAGTAAAGCCCCAGGAAAACTTAGAAACATTGTTACGGAAACATCTAGCCATGTTTGCGGCAAAAATGTTTTTGAATTTGTTAAGGGATTTGTGTCCTGGGAAGCAAAACCTGTCTCTGCAACTACGTTTCCGGGAAAACGAAAAAAAAAATTGAAGAAACATCAAAGTTTACAAATCATTCCACAACAATGTACAGGTAAACATACAGGGGATATACAGGTAAATAGGAGGCAGATATACAGGCAGATATAAGGCAGATATACAGGTAAATAGGTAAAAAGCTTAACGTACCTCTCCTTGTGCGGGTGGATTGAGTTCAGGCATTCTGATATCAGGATAAACATTTTCTAAATACCATTTAAATGAATGACACTTTAATCTTTCACGGAGTTTCTTTCTTTCAGTAATATCACCAAAATCTCGATTACGATTCTGCGGTTTCTTATTATAGTACAACTCTTTGTATTCATCCATCCATACCTCAGCCAGACGGTTAAAATTTTTACTTAGCGTTTTATCAACGCCATTTGGAAATTTGTATGGACTGGTGACTTTACGAAACACGTGACCAACTCGTGAACATGGGATGATTTCCAGTCTTCCACCACACATCCACACCTGAAACGTGATTTTATCATTAAAACTACGCACATGCACGGCTATATGTATGCATCATGATTCGTACTTGTAGTAGATATTCATGTTTATATACAGTAGGTACTGTATATACCAAACTGACTTCAACCACAAAGAAGTTTTAATAACTAGTGTTTACTGTATGTCTTTCCACAATTAGCGGTTTGTTTAACCAGGTAGGTTAAAAACACTTCTATATTTTTGGTGGAGGTTCTTCATAGGATCTCCAGACAACAGGGCTTCCCTTTTGATTACAGAACCATCGTCAGAGACATGAAAAAATACTAGTTTGATATTATTCTGCAGCTACTACTAGATTGATATTTTTCTTCAGCTATTACTATTTTGATATTTTTCTGCAGCTGTTACTAGTTTGATATTATTCTGCAGCTATCACTAGATTGATATTTTTCTTCACTATTACTATTTTGATATTTTTCTGCAGCTGTTACTAGTTTGATATTATTCTGCAGCTATTACTAGATTGATATTTTTCTTCAGCTATTACGATTTTGATATTTCTCTGCAGCTGTTACTAGTTTGATATTATTCTGCAGCTATTACTAGATTGATATTTTTCTTCAGCTATTACTAGTTTGATATTTTTCTGCAGCTGTTACTAGTTTGATATTAATCTGCAGTTATTACTAGTTTGATATTACTCTGTAGCTATTACTAGTTTGATATTATTCTGCAGCTATTACTAGTTTGATATTATTCTTCAGCTATCACTAGTTTGATATTACTCTTCAGCTATTACTAGTTTGATATTTTTCTGCAGCTATTACTAGTTTGATATTTTTCTGCAGCTATTACTAGTTTGATATTTTTCTTCAGCTATTACTATTTTGATATTTTTCTGCAGCTATTACTATTTTGATATTATTCTGCAGCTATTACTAGTTTGATATTACTCTTCAGCTATTACTAGTTTGATATTTTTCTGCAGCTATTACTAGTTTGATATTACTCTTCAGCTATTACTAGTTTGATATTATTCTGCAGCTATTACTAGTTTGATATTACTCTTCAGCTATTAGTAGTTTGATATTATTCTGCAGCTATTACTAGTTTGATATTACTCTTCAGCTATTACTAGTTTGATATTATTCTTCAGCTATCACTAGTTTGATATTATTCTTCAGCTATTACTAGTTTGATATTATTCTGCAGCTATTACCAGTTTGATATTATTCTGCAGCTATTACTAGTTTGATATTACTCTTCAGCTATTTACTTATTTATTATTCTGCAGCTATTACTAGTTTGATATTATTCTTCAGCTATTACTAGTTTGATATTATTCTGCAGCTATTACTAGTTTGATATTATTCTTCAGCTATTACTAGTTTGATATTATTCTTCAGCTATTACTAGTTTGATATTATTCTGCAGCTATTACTAGTTTGATATTATTCTGCAGCTATTACTAGTTTGATATTATTCTGCAGCTATTACTAGTTTGATATTATTCTGCAGCTATTACTAGTTTGATATTATTCTGCAGCTATTACTAGTTTGATATTATTCTGCAGGCAGCTATTACTATTTTGATATTATTCTATTACAACGAAAATAATATGAAACTAGTTTTTCATATCTCCGAGGATGGTTCTGAAATAGAATTGAAACACTGGACAGTGGCGAGTACATTGCGAATCATGGCATGGCATGGGTCGAACTCGGAACTTCTGTAACCTAAACTACTCTGTACGTTAGAGCGCTTCACCATAATCACAGGGCCGCAGGTTTGATTCCTGCCAGAGGGCCTATAGTTGCATTTTTCGAAGCTGCTCCTTGTTCGGTCTAAATTCTAAATTCCCATGTACAAAACGCCATTGAACATGTCGAAAATTAAAGCAGTTTGTTAAAATTCGAGAAGATTATACAAAGCAGAAATTCACTCACACGAAAGGAAAGCTCCAAATTCTCTCCGCCCCAGATGTCCATTTCTTCATCATAAGATCCAATATGAAAGAAATATTTCCTGTCGATTGAAAACAATCCTCCTGCCATGGTTGGTGTACTGGAAAAACATATTCAGGATTTATAAACAATAGAAGTTATTTTAATTTGTATTTTCAGGTGGTGGAATTTTTCTACAGTGCCCGCAATTCTAGCTACCCACCGTTGTAGATTCAATAACCGATCTTGGATCTGGACCCAGCAAACGAAACATACAGTATTATCTTATCTGTCCATGAACTCGTATTTGCACGAAAAAGCGTCATCACTTTTAGCAAGGACCTGTCTTCTCCTAAAAGTACGCTTTTTCAAGGGTCCACAAGATGGTTACCAAATCCTGTATATTGGGCTCAGATTTTCTTACTACTTCGCGACTTATATAGAATATATAGACATTTTGGCGTCAATTTTCACATTTAAAAAATAAAAATTTTCCTGCGTCAAAAGCTACTGTGGACCCTGACGGCATGACGGCACAATCCAACAGATGATTTTCAACATTTGTAAAAATGCTTGAAACACTGTGAAACTAAGGATATGGACTCCACAATAAACACAAACAAGGCTTTTGACAATTTTGTAAATTATGCTAAACAATAATACTCGAGTTTATACCAAAGAATGGCGAATCTCATGAAGGTTTGAAAAGTTTGAAAAATGATCTATCCATCTTAAAACTGGCTTTAAGTATGAAAATTACTTACCGTATTGGATCAGAATCGTCCTTTCTAAGTTTCTGCTCTGCTGGAGGTATGCCTTTCCATTTAAAGAAAAGATCCCAGTTAAATCCACCTCTCTGTTCAGCATTGGATGAAGCTTGGTAGGCGAATGTGTCAGCATTGAGTACTTCAATGGCGGGACACACAACATTTCTTTCATCTTCTGCAATACGTGCTAACAATGGTTCAACCCAGCCTGGTGTGGCTTCACAATGAGAGTCAAGAAATGTCAGGACATCTCCTGTCGCATCACGTGCACCTCGTAACCGCGCTCGTACCAGCCCTTCACGTTTGGTGTTCCTGATGACTTTCACCTTGGCCATGTTCGCAACATGCTCGTCTAGTGGCTTACCAAGACGTTCTAAAAAGATTTACTTTTAGGACAAAACAATTTTTTCAGACATAATAATATACATGAAAAAATTTCTCAATTCCGATTGGCTAAGGGCAGTGCAATTTTTTCGAAATACAGTGCAAAAATATGAAATACAGTGCAAATTTCTTAATTTTTTATTTCTCAAATTTCTTAATTTTCTTAATTTTTTAATTTCTAAATGTGACTTACGCATGCGACTGCATAATTTTTTCATGTATATTATTAATAAGTAATGTAGTATGGTTTCTCGTGCAATTTGAAAAAAACATACAGTCGTGAGTTTTTCAAAGACTTCAAATTGCACTTGTCCTTCCACATGTTGTATGAAACAGGGTTCGTAGTCTCCAAGACCAAAACAATTCAGAGACTTTCAGAGATTTTTTCAAAGACCTTTGAGAGCAATCAGTCTGTCGAAAAATTGCGATGTATAAGCACCATTCTTACCAGGTAATTAGTCCCGTCAAATCACATCCTAGAATGCATTTTTTCGTCGATAGTTGCGAAAATCTTGCATCAATCAATCTATTTTATTAGCTAGGAAATCGTACAATCAAATAATCACTAAAGAATTTAAAGACTTTCTTCGCTTTTTCACACAATTCAAAGACTTTCAAAGACCTTAAAGACCTGCATTCAAATTCAAAGGCTTTCAAGGATTTCAAAGACCGCTACGAACCCTGTGAAATCGTATGATTTTCAATAGTTTTTAGATCGCTAAGTAAATAAGGAATAGGACATCTTACAGTAGCTATGCTGATAGCAGTTTTAACTAAGTAAAGGGAGCCTCAAATCGGTCTGAGCAGACATTGTGTTAGCATTGGACACTTCGCGACAGAAAGCAAACATCACGCAAATCACCTGGTAATGACGTTTTCAAACACATAAAACCAGGAGAACTTTCTAATCTTAATGATATTCTGAACAAGAATGTGGTTGAAAACAAGAAAATACCGGACCCATGACTTGAATCTTGTTCAAAATCATTTACGTACCATCTTCACTGAAATCATCGACAACAATAACTTCACTCAATAATTGTGGCGGAGTTCTGTTGATAACGCTATGTATTGTACGCAGTAATACAGAAAGTCGTTCTTTATGAAAACATATGATCACACTTGTTGTTGGTAACTTTTCAGGATAGTTGTTGTGCTTTGCTTTACATCTGTAAACAAAAACGTACATGGCAGTTGTTAATAACTGTGTTTTGTTATTGCAATGTCAGTGATAAAACGACTCTATATATATTATATTACTTTTTTCCAAGTTTTATATTTGATAATTTGCACGTTTTGTAGTGGGGGAAAAAACCAACTTACTCCCCAGAGTAAGATTTAGGTCACTCAGGTAAGGTTATAGGGTCTAGTCTGAGCCACTAACTAGTGGAGCCTGTGAGGCCACTTTGCCCCCCCCCCCCCAAGTATACACAGACTGTACAGTATATCCTAAAATATGCCTTGGGACTTCCAGTACAATCTCTCACCACCAACCTACTGTGTCTCTGCCAATGACATAAACTGCCTGGGGAGTTGCACGACCATCGTTACCTTTGGGATGACCCTCTCCCAATTTGCTACATGTACTCCTGCGGTCTCTAGAACACTGTTTACTGAAGGATTTTATTCTTACACCTCTACATTTTCCTGACAATTACTGATTGAAAGTAGTCCCCACCCCACCCCACTTTCTTGGCTTTGGCACAAATTTTTGCCCTTAACTCAATCTTTTAAACAATTTGCATTATGAGCCAATGTATTCATCAGGGGTGGTCGCAATGTGCCTCCTTATATACACACAGGATGATGTGTCTATGTCCCCCCCCCCCACCGCATCCCTAGAAAAGCTTTTTTCTGCATCTAGTTTTCTTTGGAGTCTTATGTTAATGTCACGTTTAGAAAGACATGCATTTACTAAATTCTTGCAGTTGCTAAGTTCCTAAAGCTCTGTGGAGGACAGGGGTTATATCCTGTAGTTCCTCAACTTAATTTCTTTAGAATGTTAATGCAGAATACATTGTATATATCAACACAAAATGTCATAAACTTCAAGGTTGAAGAATTTATTTCTAAAACACCTGTCAGCTGAACCAATAAAAGACATGAAATGGTGTAGTCTGGTATGTACAGAAAAAGGTATTTATAGTCTGTGGCAGTAATACAGAAGTATCCAAGCTTGTGAAATGTCAATGCAGTGACAGTATTGAACTACAATAGATATCATCTTTTGTTGCTGCATTTGATATTTATGGACATCAATATGTTTTTTAGCCCATTAAGTCGCATTGCACCCAATGCATGCACCCACATTATTTTTACTGTGTCTAATGCCAGACAATTTTACTCGTCAAGGGGAGAGAGCAGCTGCCCATAGGTCTACAAGTTAACCTATTAAGTTGAATTGCCTTCACCCATTACTTTATTATTTTACTAATGTCAGTCTAATACCAGAAGATTTTACTTGTAAAGGAGAGAGTGTTGGTGCTCAATGGGTTAATCTGTTATCATTTATCTCATCACAATAAAGTAAATCTATATTTGAATGATTTATTTGCCTGTCTGCTTAGGCCCCCAGCTAAAGGGAACTGCCAAATAAACAGTAAAGTGAAGGCCCTTCATCGGGGGAAGTTAGTAGCATGGATTGGGAAACGTACACATACGTACATGTACTTGTAATCTCTACATAGTACATACTGCTGCTGTTCGTCATTATCACTACCTGCACTGGCATGGACAGAGATAGATTATTGACTAGTCTGTCAGGATGTAGTGACTAGTCTTTAGGGGGACATCAGATTCCAAAATCCGTCCAGGCCACATAATGCACCAAAGTTTAAACAATGGAAATCATGAGGGTCCCAAAGTTATATTTTGCCCCAGGCCCCCAATGTTTCATTTTACTCATCAAGGGGAAAGAGCTGGCACTTAATGGGTTAAGCAGTAAATATTTTGGCCCTATAACACTTCATTTGGGACATTATAACACTAAAGGAAAGGTCCACACAAACCGAACGCGATTCGACAACGCGACACAAATTTTCAGTTTTTAAAAACATATAAAACCGTCAGCGGATAAAAATTTAACAAGATATGCAGACCAAATAGCTAAAATTGCTTAAGTGGTTCCAAATATTTGAAAAGAATAGAAAAATAGTATTAAAAGTCATTGAAAATTGAAAATTCGCGTCACGTTGCCAAATCGCGTTCGGTCTGTATGGGCCTTAAAATGTTACATTTTGCAGCCTAACAGCAAAATCTAAAGTTTTCTCTAACATTAAATTAAACAGCAAAATTTCAGCTCCTCCAACACTGAACACTCTAAGGCCCATTTACATGACACAACTAGTCGTATATGATTGTCATTCTGGCATATGAAAATGAATGCTATCACCACTACTCCTTCATCAATTAATGGCAAAATTTGAAATGTGACATCTTTACCATTGAAATTTTATTTAGTTCAATGCATCTTTAGACACACATTTATTTAAATACATATGCCAGAATAAGAATCATATAAGACTAGTCATATTGTATAAATGAGCATTTAGAAAAAGAGAAAATAACACTAAACCCCATTAAGACCCTCATAATACATACTACAATATATGTAAGGCTCTGGAAAAAAAAAACGGTATGAAAATTGTTTTAAAAATAAAACGTGTATTATTTTATCAATCTGAATGATAAGAAAGTCTTTGAAGATTTGGCAAACCGGAAGTTATACTGACACAATAAAAAATTTGTAGGATTTCAAAATGTCAATGCAATATGCCTTCAAAAACACTATAAATTGTGACAAAGTATTGGAATGAAGTATTGTATAAATAAAGTACTATTTTAATAAGTATTAAAATACACAATCATGCTCACCTTGCGCCACGATAATCATCTAGAGTACGATCAAGTGAAAGTTTATCACTTAAAACCCAGTTAAATGAATGATCCGAGAAGTGATCTTGTGCTAATTTTTTATCTTCTTCAGAAACAAGATAAGCAGCTTTGCCCATAGCGCCTAAAGCATATTGATCTGGCTCTTTGAGTTTACTAACATCGTATACAGGTCTTTGACTGCCGTGTATTAACTTTCCTACTTTCTTGGATAAGCTTGATAAATAACCTGAGTTCTTTTTATAATGTCTTGAAATATTGCCTTCTTTTTGCTGCCATGGGTATTTTATATCATGATTAATTGGTTTTAAAGGTTCAACTCCGACTTTATGCATGAATTTATAGTCATCATTGTGGTACAGTGGAGCATTGAGCATTTCCAACGAGTTTCGTGTAAAATCATCATTCGACATGAACATCAATACCATCGCAGAAAACCAAAATAAAGTCGTTAAAGCAATCACTTTTAATGATTGATTTAGAAGCATTATACTCAACTTATGTCTTGTAGTTTCTTCGGTATTTCTTGTTAGTTAGTGCTGCGTATTCCAAACAAAACAACAGGCACACTGCGTCAAAGTATTTACGTGTCACAACCTTTCAATTCTTCAAAATTCATTCAGCGCGAAAAGACACGATCCTCGATACATTCTAGTTGTCAGACTTTTACCGTATATAATAAATCATTGTATTAGAGACAGGGCAGTTTTCTTTGTAGTAAACACAAGTAAATACAGGTGTTATAAAATAAATGCGGTAAACCAGCGTCCGTCCTTGTCAAAATGAATGCGTATTGCGAAATTTGTGATTACTATATATACTTCCCATCATGCAAACATGTCTGGTATCGTGTACGGGGGGGGGGGACAAATCGGGCATTGCAAATATATAGATTATATTAAATATAAAGATAAACGAAATTTGAGATTTTAACCTAAAAATTATAGAAAGACGTAAATAAATGTGTTTCTTTGAAAAGAAAACAACTAGACAGTCAAATTTTACTTTACACAGCACGGTGAGCACACACGGAATAATATTAAAAATAGTTATGATATTATCTCTCGCTCCCCCCGGCTGTACGCTTGCATGAGTGTCAAGCACGTGTGTATATTTTTCAAGATGGCGGTTGCTACAGGACTGAATATTACAGGCAGTCAACTTTTCTCGCCATTTCGAGCGCTGGGTTATGTGTCAAATGGTGTGCCACTTGCTTTACAAGCCCTAGGGAGTGAACATTTCGTCGCTACCGTGGTGGGAAGATCCTTTCATCTTTATAATGTTAGTATAACACCATTCTATTAATAGTCATTTGCTATTCGCTATTAATAGTCAATGTATTTGCCATTCGCTATTAATAATAGTCAATGTATTATTATTTGCTATTCACTTCCATATTCATGTTGCCACAAATAATGTCGAATCAATGTTATGAGTGGCTGGGTTTTTATGTGAACTTATCGACGTTATGAGTGGCAATTTGACAATTACCTAATGTCCAAAGTAACTATCACGATACAGCTTTGGTATCATAAATACGAAATACAAAATACAACTGAATATTGATCGACGTTATCTGGAGTGGATGGGTGTAGTAATAACGTCTATTCGACGTTACTTGTGGCGACATATACAACATGAATATGGATGTGGCCCCTTATAATAAATATGGATGCTTGTATGTAGCAAAGCCTGTGCCAGTATCCTTAAACTTCATTGTTCTTTAAGAATCTGATCATGTCAATTTAAAAATGACTTTTTATCAGATTCACCCCCCCCTAGTTGCACTTGCGCTGTAACATCAATGATTGGCAGGTGCATTATAAAGTAAACATGTCAAATAAATGATCCAAATAAATTTGTTAAAAAAAAACCCCAAAACCCGATCAATACATAAAGCCTTATGAATTGAAATTCCCTTTTGGTTCTGGTTTCATGTCCTGAAAAATTAGGGTACTCACTAGGTAGGTTTTGAAAACTTGACATTGCTCAGCAACAGCCATGAGTGTGATCAGCTGGCATGCATTAATGCATAAACATCTCGAATAAATAGGGTTTGGCAGTAACTGTGACAATGACCCTGGCATTGCATTGTATTGGAAAGTGAACAATTATAAATATGCAGACAGCTGTAACCATATAAAAAAGCATTAGGGTAAGCTGAAAAAATTGGGTCGGTTGAGAAACCAGAACAGGATATTTTTTGTTAGAGCTGAGGATCAAACAGAGGGAGCACTTGGTTTCTGTATAATGCCATATAAGGAAAGCATAACTGCTACTCACCAGAAAATACACAGGAAACTTTTTACTTTGACGAACAAATTGTTTTACCAGATATTCATGACTGGTAACAGTGCATGATCACAGCTTTTCGACCAAGTTGATCCGACATATTGTCTGCACAAAAAATAGCAATCAGTCAGTTTTCTTGAAAAACTAACTTAACCATAAGCTATATGTATCCAATCAATATAAAATCATTTTAACAAACTGTCTAGTGTTTGGCATAAAGTAGTTTGGCATATATATATATATATATATATATATATATATATATATATATATATATATATATATATATATATATATATATATATATATATATATATATATATATATATATATATATATATATATATATATATATATATATATATATATATATGCGTATTTTACCCAACAAAAGCCTGGAGTCAAAATGGAGTCGAAATGTCAAATTTGAAAGTTTCCAGTCAAATTTCATTTTGGTTGGACATTTTTTCCGGACAATTCTTAATGTTATTTCAGGCTCTGTGGTAAGTTTCTAGTTAGCATGTCAGCAGATTGATCAGATATCTATACTGTATTGAGATATTTTGTGCCAGTACATGCTGTTAATTAAAGTGAGGCTTGTAAAGGATTGTATTTGTAGTGCAAGCAACAACAACTAGAATATAGTTCTTAAATCTTTCAGGCTAATATTGCCTTGCATTGAGGACCAGTTTACATGTGAGACAACTTGAACATGGTTGGTCTATGTAAACAACAACGTTAAACTTAATAACTGCTTTTATGACAAAATAAAACATAATTTTTGATTTCGACGTTAGACAAAGTAGTAAAAACATTTTGCGGTAAATAAATAGTCTAGATGAACAATACATATTGCTTTTATATTGCATGCATTCAAAGTCTGCTTTAATATGACTCCTGCAAGTGTGCAAAATATTCTTTTAGTATGCTTTGAAATCACTGGAAAACTTTTTGATAAATATTAGCTAAATCCTACTACATTTGAAGGTAACACTCATTACTATTTTTTAACTAGCAGTGTTCTCTTTTCACTATTGTATAAAATGTATATAAATTAAAATTAATATACACTAAGGCCTTGTCCACATATCAGGGTGCGATAATTCAATATTTTAGTCGTACCTGACTGGTACGCCATTGGTTGTTGCCACATACTTACACAAACTCAATATACTCAATGTGTATTTAGTCATTCAAATAATTTTCATAAAGTACAGGTTTCTGAAAAGTATGTTCAGCTTACAAGGTAGAAAAAGAAGCACAGCGTATACAAACAATGGACTGATTGGACTCCAGCGTTTCTTAGTGCCATCAGTCCAATCATGTTTCATACCAAAACATCTCAGACACATGGTATA